GGCTCTGGGAGGGAGAGAAGCCAGGTCCACGCGAGCACCTCACAGGATGCCTTCAGAGGGTGGACACTAGAGATGGACGGGGGACTTTCTTCCTGGTGAACCGCTGCTGGTGGCAGTAAGAGCGGACCCTGACTGGGCACTGCTGAGTGCACTGGCCGGGAGAGGGCCTCATCCCGCGTCGGACTGAACCAGCCTGCTGGCGGATGGGCTGGGCAGTGCTGGGGGCTCCAGCTGCCCTGGGCTCAGCCACCTGCACAGCGCTGGGCAGGACGACGCTGGCGTCTGGGCGTGACTGCCCGGTTCCTGCCCAGGTGCCTGGGATGATGCCCTCCGGCATCCCCGTGTCCTCACCTGCCCTGACTTTAGGCTCCACATCTGCAGACGCTGGCCATGCACCCAGGTGGCAGGCCACGCTGCCACCACCCTGCTCAGACCACTGTGTACCTCTGGGACACACCAGGGGGATGAAGCCACCCAGCACTCCACTGCCAGCTCACCTGCGTGTGCAAGGAGGAACAGCCCACAGCCGGGCCTCCAGCCACGTGGCTGCTCTGGCAGGTGAGGGTGGCCACAGATCCGGAGAGGTGGAATGACAGAGCCTGGAGGCCACTGGCCCTTGCCCGCCCAGCGGTCCTGGGGACACCTGCAGAGGCCTTTCCACAGGCGCTGCCTGGGCCTGGGAGGAGGCTCAGCACCTGGGTTGTCAGGTGTAGCTCAGGCACCTGGCCAGGAGCAGGGTCTGCAGCCCACGTGCGGCACTGTGCGCTCTCATCCTGTCCCTCTGGAGCCCCGCCCCGCCCAGTCGCTGGCCTCTCCACTGCTAGGAGCCATGTGGCAGAACCCGTGTCACAGCTGCCCTGGCTGCTGCGGCTCCTGGAGCCTGCTTTCCACGGAGTTGGCCGCGACGCCCGCTTTGTCCTGTGGCGAAAGGCTCTGCAGGCTGGGTCACGGCTCCTCAGCCACAGCTCAGAGGCCACCTCTAGAAAGTCCTCACCTTCCCACACCCAAGCGCCGTCCCGGAAAGGGCCGCTCCCACCTGGTGCCCACATCTGCTTCCTACCTCCGTGGGCACCCTCGCGTGTGCCCTCTGAATGGGTCCTCCCCGTGGGGGCACTGGGACGGCTGGTGCCCCTTCCCCATGGGGCCAGGCAGGACTAGAGCATGCACACACCAGGGTGATGGGGACTCAGTGATGCTCCTGCCAGGACCTGAGGTTGGCAGGAGCGAGCTCCCTGCAGAGAGGGCGTCTTTAGAGGAAGGTCACAGGACCCACGTGCATTGCAAGCACAGGGATTGGGTCAGCCGCCTTCTCCCTCTCCCTCCCCTCACTCCACAGCTGGGGGACACCCATGGAGTGCAGGTGCGGCCCTGGGTGTCGACCCACCTGGGAGGTACTTTAGAAATCCTGAATGAAACACACCCCACAAGGCAGGCAGACGTGCGTGACCCGGAAGGAGCTGGAGTGCAGCCCGCCATCCTGCAGAGAGGGTCAGGTCTCGCGCTGGGCCGTCTCGAGACGCAGAGGATCCCACGTCCTGTGGCCCAGGCTGTCCCATGTCCTTATTCCCCAAGCCATGTGTGTTTTCTTTAAAATGCAATTATGTCTAAGCAGTTTACTCCTTTCTGGGGAAGCCTGGCTTAGTGGCTCTGTGAGGAGGCGTGGGGTTCAGGGGAATGGCTTACAAGGGATGATTGGGAGATTTCTCTTCCTCTGTACCAGAGCTGGCCCTCGGCACCTGTGGGTTCTGCATCTGAAAATTCAACCAGCCACGGACGGAAACTATTTGAAAAAAACCTGTGTTTGTGCTGAACGGGTACTGAGTCTTCCTGTCACCGTGTCCCAACAACCTAGGGTGACATCTGTCTACGCAGCCTGCATACTGTCCTGGTGTCATAAGTAGCCCAGAGGTGATCTGGAGCATCTGGGAGGACCTGGGGGTCATGTGAGCACACTGTCATTTACACCAAGGACTTGAGCCTCCATGGGTCTTGGTACCAGGGAGTGAGATGGAGCCAAGTCCTGCCCGATCCCGGTGGGAAATTGCACGTCTGTTCTTGGCAGTCTTAAAAAGATAAATCAAACTTTTGAAAATAAAATTCTCGACATGCATACAGTGTATGAGGGGAGATTCTATAGCTAGATAACTGATGTTTTTTTGGAGGAAAAAACTGGACTGCAGAGTCAGTGGGGGCCCCTCTGTTGTCTTCTAGAACATTCTGGGTTTTGCTTCGAGGCAGCTGTGCCCAGCAGGGGTCTGGGGACAGGCTGCTCAGGGGGCTGAGAGGGGCCCGGCTGGTGCCTGAAGCCCTGCAGGGTGGTGAAGGTGGACACCGGCCGTGCTGAGCGTGAGCATGGCATAGCGGGGAGGCCGTCCTTCCAACTCTCCTGTCCTGGCTGCTGGTGTCGTCCTGCTGAGGGACTTGGGCACCTAGGCTCTGCCTGCGCCTCCTCCACACCCCGAGACTCTCCCATGTCCTGCGGTGTCCTGTCACGTGGTCAGGTGGTACCTTGGGATGCTCAGTACAGGTCTCTCTTCCTGCTGCGGCCTTGGGGAGAAGGGGTCCAGCCAGGACCTGTGGATGGATCTCATTTGGGAACGACATCTTTGTAGACAAGGCCAAGACAGAGCCACAGTGGTCAGGATGGACTCCAGTCCAATGACGGGCGTCTGCCCACAAAGGGAGACCTGGACACACAGACGCAGTGGGAGAGACCACGCGATGTCAGAGGTGGAGAGGGGTCCCCAGCAGGCCTTGAGGCTCATGGAGGCCAGGTAGCTGCTCCCTCAGACCACCAGAGGCGCCAACCTGCAGCCCCTTGGCTGGGGCCTCTGGACCCGATTCCTGCTCCTGGTTGGGGGCTTTCTCCAGCAGCCTTGGGGAACAGAGGCAGCTCTCCCGGACCAGGGCCTTCCTCAGCCCCATCTACAGCGGCCTCCTAGGGGAAGTGCTCACCACTGACAGAAGCACCTGCTAGCCCCAGGAGGCACTGGGGTGGACATGAACCTGGAGCCCCTGGGACCCACAGAGTGAGAGGCGTCGGCTGCACAGCCCGTGGTCCACCACCCCCAGCTTCATGTTCCAGTCAGGCTCACTCCTAAGGCACCGACAGGCTTGTGGGTTGGGAAGTTCTGGTGTCTGAGAGAGGTCCAGGCAGGGGCCGCTTCCTGAGTACAGCTGCAGAGCTGGCTGCACTGGACAGTCGGGCGGGCGTCACAGTGCTCAGGATGCGACGCTGGGACTGCGAGGAAGAGCTGTGTTTGACAGGCGCCCACGTTTCCAGAGACCAAACCGTCAGCCGTGGCCGGGTAGGAAACTAGCGCACTGTGGGGTTTGCGGCAGAGTAGTATCCCTAGGACAGGGACTAGAGGAGAGGGCAGTGTCCTGTGCAGAGTGCGGACGAGGCGGTGAAGCTGGCTACTTTGGAATGGAACCTCACAGAGGCTCTGAGGCCCTGAGGCCCTGGAACCTCGAGGCTCTGCAGAGCCCCCAGGGCTGGTCTCCGGGCCCCTGGAGGGGTGGGGCTAGAACCTGGGGAGCACGCCAGCCGGTGTCCCCGTCCTCCGCAGGCGGCAGGGCTGGCGGCTGAGCGGAGCCTCTGACCACCCTGCACTTGCCTCTGTCCCACTCGCCTCCCAGGGCTCCATCCTCAGGCTATTTCCTGTCCCCTGCACACCAGTCTTTGAGTGAAATGTCACAACTCGAGTCCAGCGCGTGCTGGAAGCCTTGGCTCCTGCCACTGGTTGGGCAGGTGCAGAATTCCTCAGGGACCCACTTGCCCTGCCTGCTCAGGGGAGGAGAAAGGCACTCACGTGCCCAGGAGGCCAAGGGCGCCAAGCGCCCTCAGCACAGCCTGGGCCCTTCCTTGGGTTCCAGAAAGGCAGGGAGGAAGGCCCCCTCCTGAGTGCAACAGGGAGGCTGGACGGGGCGCTGGGGAAGGGGACAGGGAGTCTGGAGCTGGGGGACTTCCTGACCTGTCCGAGTCTTCTCCTCTCCTCAACCACTGAGCAGCTCCATCTCCAGCTGCTGCCTCCTGGGGCTGCCCTGGCGGCCAGGCCCACCCACCTCCTGGGTCTCCTGCGCCCGGCTGTGGTTTCGCCTCTGGGTGGTGTGCCTGGCCGTGGCAGGAGCTGCGACCACTGTGGCGCTCAGTGCCACTTCCCAAGCCCATTCCCATCGAGCTCTGCAGGGGCTGACTGCTGGGGGGACACGGCTGGGGAAGGGGAGCCCAATCCACAGCACCCCCATTCCTCACATTGGCAACGGTGTCAGTTCTCAAGGCCTGGTCTGGTCCTGGTGACCCAGGGTGACGCTGACTGAAGGCTCCTGCCTTTAGGACACGGTGTCGGGTCCTCACAGAAGACAGAGCTCCGCCTCCACCTTCCTAAGAATGGAGCCACAGACAGGCCCGGGGAACCCACGCTCCTTACACACACATTCAAAGGTGTGCTGGTTCCGGGGGGGAGGGCAGGGGTTGGGGAGGTCAGGTGGTGGAAGGGGGTGGACATCATCACCCTAGGAACACGTACGACTGTCCAACTGGGGACTCTGCATCGTGCACACTCAGAGAAGTGAAAGGCTGTGCTGCATTTGTGTACAGTGAAATGAGTGCAACCAATCAGGAAAAACAGAACATCAACACAAAAAACAAATACGTCACAATAAACCACATAACTGTGTAATTATAATTGAACTAAGTATGATTATGATTAAAATGTGTTAATTTCATTTCTTTATATTTTATAAAATGACATTATAAAGTGGCTAAAAACTAAAGATCTCTAGGCACTGAATCTCTCAAGGTGAATTTTGATACTAAATTTGAAAAGAGATTAATGATAAAAATATCAAAGAACTCATAAATTCTGAAATCAAGTAACGTTTAGTGAACATCCTTTAGTAAGTTTGAATGGGCTTATCTGAATTCAAGGCATTATTCACAACCAATCTATTTAGATCTCGTTTTTAAAAAACATTTTAGGTAAAAAAAAGAGAGTCACCTGCCAGAAGTCGGCCACAGTGGCGGGCAGGGGTCCTTGGGTGGCGATGTAGGCAGGATTCCTCGGGTCATGATCCATCTGTGGAGACAAGGCACACAAGACGGTCAGCCACAGGTCAGAAGCGTCCAGAGGCCGAGCCTCGCTGGGGGCGTCTGTGCCCCATGGTGTGACCCCCACCACTGTTCACAGATCCCAGTGGGCACCTGAGTTCCAGCAGACTCAGAAACCACAGCCAAGATGCCTTCTTACACCTGATTGAGGTTACAAGAGCAGGTCACAGAAACGGGGGCCCAGTGCCCAAGGAGACCAGGGCAAGCCCTTTGTCCCAGCGACACAGCACGTCCTCACGGGTGCGTGTGGAGGATCTTCCTGTACCCCATGGGGCTGTGAGCCGCCTGTTAGGACCCAGGTGGTGGGCTGCAGAGGGGTCAGGCCTTAGCCCCAAGCAGGACTCTCCATGTCCAGCCCCCAGGGACAGACTCGCCGGGGGGCCACAGCTGCAGTGGCTTCTCTCAAGGAGTTAGTGCGTGCCCTGGGGGCTTGTTTCTGCTCATCCTGAAAAGGGGGCTTAGGCCGGGCTGGTCAGCTTGGCCGGGGCCTTGCTGGGGGGCATCATGACTGGGCCAACCTCAGAGGGCCATTTCTCTTCTCTTTCCAGCAGACGACGGGCTGAGAACGGAGAATGGGGCCGAGGTCTTCCTGGCTAGCTGATTGGTCCACACCCTTGTGCTAGCCCCCGTGGGGAATTTGGCTTAAACGACCTTTGTTATGACATTTCACTCAAAGACTGGTGTGCAGGGGACAGGAAATAGCCTGAGGATGGAGCCCTGGGAGGCCAGTGGGACAGAGGCAAGTGCAGGGTGGTCAGAGGCTCCGCTCAGCCGCCAGCCCTGCCGCCTGCGGAGGACGGGGGCACTGGCTGTCGTGCTCCCCAGGTTCCAGCACCCCTCCAGGGGCCTGGAGACCAGCTCGGGGGGCTCTGGACACTGTGTCGGGGTCCAGCCTCAGGGCGAGACAGCTGCCTGCAGACCCCCACGGCTGGCCGAGCTCCTGCTCTCTGGGCTTGGGGCTGATGAAAGATCTGAGATGCTCTGTATTTCAAGATAACGGCCAGGAACACATTTCTCAGCAGAGTGAAAAATGAGGACGTCTTAACCACATGTGCTCTGAGGCCACACGCAAGGTCGGTGGTGGACCCAGCCGCCACCTTACACACGGCTCCGCGGGAGACCCGCAGGCCTGGGCAGGGAGGGTGTGTCCACCCGGGGCGAGCCCAGGGAGCCGATGCCATCCTCCCACCTGGACAGAACCATGCGGCAGGAGGCTGGAGCGAGGAGCTTCCCCGCGTCTAGTTTAATGGTCTCTAGTGAAAGTGGACATTGTTTTGAAATTCACCACAACATACACCACGCAGGTAGATTATGGTACTCTCACTGAAAGCTCCAATTACAACGTTTCAGTGACAAATGTTTAGTTTTGATTTTTAAAATGTGCATTTGCTGCGGTGACTATTTACGGAGACCCCGTCTCCCCGCTGTGCACAGGTTCGTGTAAGAAGGAAGACCCACCTCCCCCTCGGGACGGCCCTGCCCGGAGCGCCTCGGCAGCAGCACATGTCGATCATGAGCATTCAAACCAGCAATGCTGCTGCTTCAAAATGCGAGGGCCCTGGCCCCGATGACACGCTGCTAGGGTCCCAGAGGGCAGATACGCCAGCCTTGTGACAGGTCTTAACTGCTGAGTTTTAAAATTCCTTAAACCATCACCTGCTTAGGTGCCCTGGACAGAGCCGTGGAATCCAGGGACACAGGCAAGTGCATGGGGCCTGGCCGCAAGTCGGGCCTCACAGCTCGGGCCTCGGGCTGCTCCGGGAGGTGCCAGGGCACAGGTCACATTGGTGAGGTGCACTCGCCAACGCAGACTGGAAGGTGGCAGGACGCCTCTGTGAGCGCTGACCCTCAGTGAGGCCAGGGCCATGCTGTCCTCCTGCCTCTCTGCTGGCCTGGACACAACAGAGTGTACTCGGGCCACCTCTGCTCTGTGCGCCTGGCCCTCCCTCCTTCCTTCTCACATTCTCTGTCTCTCTGTGATATATCTTGGTGTCCCATGCCACTGTGTGACCCTGGGAAGTCTGTCATGCCTCTGGACCTCAGTCTCTGTGTCACCGGGTGGGTGATGGGGAGGGGGGAGGCGGGACGGAATGACCTCCAGGTGCCCTTCAGCCCAGGTCCCAGGTAGACATGTGTGTGTCTGCATGGCAAGCCAGAGACGTGCCTGCACGTCCTGTGAGCCCCTTTGGGTGGGAGGACCCTGTCCCCGTGATGGCAGTGGTGCTGAGAGTCTGGGCCACTGGAAGCACTTCCCTGGCCAGAGCTTCTGTGGTGACGAGCTGGCCCAGAGAGGCTGGTGTCCATTAACCCACATTTAAGTGGTAGCTGGAGGGCGGCAGGACCCAGGCACAAATGACAGTGTGATTTTGCTTGTACTGTTTTCCCCCAGAAGGAGGAACGCCATCTGTTGGGTCCGTTGTCCCTGGTAGACTGCTTCTTGGGAAGATGTCACATGAAACGGGACACGAAAGGTGTCCCCTAAAGGGATGCTTGCAAACAACCCGGTGGTGTGCGGGGGCTGGGACACACCCGCGTGAGGCGAGCGTCAGGTGGCTTCACCTTGAAGAAGCCCAGGCTGCTTGAAACCCAGAAGTCCCTCCCCAGTAACTTTCATCCTCCAAGAAAAACTGCCTTTAGGAGGAGACCCAGGTTCTGAGCCCCAAGAGCTCACCAGAAGCGAGAGTGCCACCTGGCCTCCTCGGCCTGCACCAACGTCTCAGGAGTCCTTCAGGGAGAGCGTGCCGGCACCTGGGCCTCCCTGCGCTCCTAGGTCACCGCGGATCTCAGACCTCCTCCTCTCTCTCTGCTATTCCTTCTTCTGTGGTGCAGGGGATTGAGCCAGGGTGCTCTGCCATCGAGCCACACCCCGGCCTGGCACAGCCTGAATTGGCAGGTGTCCAGACGGCAGGCTCTGGGGAGGGAGGCCGACCTTGAGCAGTCTTCACACTGGCCTCAGGCGTCAAGTTGTTAAAGTGAGTACGAGGGTGAGCCACCACCGCCCACAGGTGCTGGCTGTGGGGACTTTGTGAGCCATGCTTGGCCACCTCCTCAGGACACTCAGGACACCTGCCCTGCCGTCCCTCCTGGGCAGCCGCCCTGTCCCCAGGTGCCTGCCAATCAAACACCAGGCCATGTTCCGCCTTTCCCAAACAGTGGAACCAGGATGAGGCTGAGCTGTCCCTGTGGCTGGCACCGCGGGCTCGTCCTGGTCACTAACCCACAGGCTCTGCCTGTGCCACTGTCCACAGGTGACACCCTCAGTCTGCCCAAGTTCTTAAATGGAGCCCGCGGGTCTCCCTGACTGCCTAGGGGACACGGCTCCCGTGGACTTGCAGGACCCCTCTAAAGGCAGACTGGCGTGGCTCGAGCGTGTGAGGACCGAGTGCCAACACGGCAGGCGTGACGGTCATGGTCCGACACGGCAGGTCGTCCAGCTGCTTCTCGCTCAGAGGCTGCTGGGAAGGCCATCCTGGGCCGCGGGTCTTCAGAGAGAAGGGGAGGTGGGGATCTCCGAGTCCCCTCTCACAACCAAATTTGAAAAAAAGACTCGCACTATAAAGCAAAGGGAAAGCCACGAGGTGCCCAGATCCCGTCTCTCCCCTGGTGTCCCTTCTGACCCTAGCCCCTGGCCAGCAGCTGGGAAGGTCACCCTGAATCTGCACTGCCCAGGCTGAGGAACCGCAGGATGCACCCCCACCCCTCAGCACGTGAGCAGGAAACCATCCAGGTCCTGCCCTGCTGTGGCCACTGCACCCAGCAGCGCCCACGGGAGACGGACCTCCAGCCAGGGCACCCTGACATGCCGAGAGTCCCACAGCCCGGCAGGGACCCGCACCTCTTGGACTGGGGAAGGGCTTTGCCTGGCCTTTCTGTTTGGTCATTCCAGGAGAGGGACCACAACAGGCAGGGCCCGGTTCCTCCCTCTCTTCATCCACCAACAGTGCTGCCCATCACCCTGGGCAGGACCCAGCACTCACAGGCCTGCCTCACGGGGCACGGGGTTCTGCTCGGGGGACAAGAGTGGCCAGCCAGTGGGCTTTGACTAGAGACTCAGAATCAGTCTTGCTGGGAAGACCCAGGGGACGGGCCCCGTGCAGGAGACAGGCCCCGCCACACGTCACACCTGTGTGAGGCCTGGGCCTCACAGCCCCCTCTCTGCACAGACGGAGTACCTGGAGCAGCCGCTCCTCCAAGTCACTTTTCTTTAAATATAATTTTTTATTTTACTTGTAGGTGTGCGCAATATCTTTATTTATGTGGTGCTGAGGATCAAATCCTGTGCCTCACGTGTGCAAGGCAAGCGCTCTGCCACTGCGCCACACCCCAGCCCCCTCACTTTTCAAAGCTGAGTTTGTGCACTGTGTGGGTGTGAGGGGGCAGGAGGCGGGACCGGCAGCTGCACAGCAGGGGCTGAACTGCCCCCCAGAGGTGCTACAGGGGGCAGCCCGGGCAGGGAGGATGCCGGCCAAGGGACGCCACCACGTGTCATCTCCTGCTGAAGGGCCACAGGATCTAGGACTCGGTGCGTTTGTGGCCCTAGGGCTGGCCGGCACGCTGGGTCCTGGGTATCCTGACCCCGTCAGACACACTGTGTTCTGTAGGCCCTGTGTTCGGTGGCTGCAAACCTGGGATTTCAGAAATGACTGATGTGTCCCTTAGACCGACACCAAGGAAAGCTGTGGGAAGGGGTCAGTGCACCAGCTGTCCAAGTCCACACGGAATCCCGGCCCCTCTCTGCACCCCTCCCAGCCCCTGGCTCCACAGGCCTGGTCCCTCCATCCCCACCTGCCCTCCCCACCTTGGCTCTGCAGGCAGCTGAGGCCCAGGGAAGCCCTCCCCAGCCTCCCCTGCTCACCGCCAGCTGGCCTCCACTTCCCTGTGCCAGCTGCCTGCTCTCTGCCGAGCCTGAGCCAGGGACAGCACTGGGGTGGGCGGTGCCCAGAGCCAAAGAGGCTCCAGGAGGAGAGCCCCTCTGAAGTCAGGGAGGCCTGGGGCTGGAGCAGCACTGCCTCCTGCCATCCTCCCCAGGCCCAAGCCTCCACTCCCCTCTCCTCCAACAGCTGCCGGGAGGCACAGCCGCAGGCACCTGCTTTGTATTCAAAGACCCCAGACACCCGACCACCCCAGGCAGCAAGCCTGCTGCAGCAAGGCCTCGGGGCCTCCATGTTAAAGGGAGGCAGGTTGGTACCTGGGTTTCCGTCTCCCAGGAGTCAGGGAAACGGCACCTGGGGGAGGCGACTGCCAGGGGCAGGAGCCACTGCAGTGTGGGTTCCACTGTAGCACCCTCCCAACTACGGCCTGTCGCCCGCCGAGCACCAGGTCCACTCAGACTCGAGGCAGCTGGTGCGCCTGGCCCAAGCCAGTCCCTGGTCACCAGCCAGGGCAGGCACTGCGAACCCTCTTGAAGCTGAACTTTCTCGCCCACAGAGGAGAGCCGCTGACCCGTGCTCTGGGCCGTGTACTTACAATGGGGCTGGCGTTGATGTAGTCCGAGTTGCTGTGACTGTTTTCCGGTTTCAGCAGGATCCTGGAGTGGTCATCTGCAAGAAACCCATGAGAGGTGGTTGGGAGCTGGCCCAGTGCTTCGTCCAGGGGCGTGGGGGACCCATCTAGGCTCACACCACCCCAGCTCCAGTCCAGGGTCAGCGCCAGCCTTGAGCACTCCTCAGTGGAGTCTTTCCTTCCGATCCTCCAGGATGACCCCGTGGCCCAGCCCTCGGAGGGCAGAACAGAGCCGCCCTCTGCCCCTCGGATGCAGGGACGCCCCCCCTGCCTTCACAGCCCTGCTGTAAAGAGCAGACACACGCCGACGCATGGAGGACGATGCACCCGTGGATATCAATCAACAGGCCACCATCCAAGATAGAGTCTCGTAGTTGACAAGTGGCTAAATCCCTGAGATGACTGGAATTTAGTTTCAAGGGGAGAGTGAGAGCCACAGGAAATGCAGATGATAGGGAGGAAACAGAGACGCCCGGGGAGCCTCGGGTGGACATGAGCTCTGCACAGGCAGAGGCCTTGCCTGATGAGGGCCAGAGCCGGCAACCGTTCCTGGGGCTGACCAGGAGAGCGCATTCCGGGTGAGTGCGTCCCTGCCTCAGTCTGGCTCTGGACGGACCCCTCTGCCTGACTCCAGGAGCTGCGAGGCGTGGCCCCAGGGAAGGTGCAGGGAGCAGTGGGAGGTGTGTGCGCTGGCCTGGCCAGGGCCCGGGGTGGAGCCTCAAATCCCCTCGTCCTCCATGAGGGGCAGCTGGGGGCACGGCCAGCGGCTCCGCTCTTGCTCCCGGGTGAGTCCCTCGGGGACACGCAGCATCCTTGGCCACCGGGTCCCCCGCGACTGAGAGCTTGCTCAGACTCAGGCTTGTTCCCCCAGACTCGCGGGGGGCCCCTTCCTGCAGGAGGGGAGGCCTCCCGCCACGGGCCGCGCAGGCGGCACAGGCTTGGGGACTTCACTGTCACTGGTGTTTCTTTCATTTCTCTCGGAGATAAATTTACCTAATGCTTTAAAAATAACATCTCAGGGCTTGGGAAAGGTGAGAGTCCCGACGGGCTGAACTTGGCCGGCGATGTCGGGGGTCGGGGGACGGGCCTGGTGGGCCAGAGTCGCCCATCAGCCATGACGTCCAACTAGGGGCACTTTTCCATGGAGACAAATTGGACAAGGAACACTGAGAGATGTCACACGTCACATTTATATACACCTATTTACGTGTGGCCAACGTCGTGGAATGTCGCGAGGGTGGGTGTGACGGGATGGTGTGGCCAAGCTGTGGCTGCAGCTGTTTGTAGGGTGTTGGGGAGCCCAGCCAGGGCTCTGCCTCGGAGCTGCCCCGGCCCCCCGCAGCGGCCTTCAGCGGAGGCACGACCCAGTTCCCAGCCCACGACTCCACGGCCCTCCTGCACAAGCGTATTCCCGAGAGGGCGGAAATCCGCAGCATCAGAGAACAGAAACGACGTCGGCCAGGAAGAGCTGGTCCACTCGGACACCCTAACATGCCATGAGCACCGCCCACACCAGGTTCCAGAAGCCCAGGTCCACGGGGCCTGCAAGGTCCCAGCCGTGCTCACTCTGCTCAGGGGGCCTGACCACTGCAGCTCACAGAGCTCTGGAACGGGGAGCCTGGCTTCTAGCTGTTTCCAGAGGGTTCCGGGTCGCCTGGGCCTCACTGTAAGCATTTTTAACACACAATTTAGGCACTTGTGGCCACCTGTCCACCTACTTAGGAGGTCTGTGCTGCAAGGCAGCCTTCCAGGTAAAGAGGGGCGTGGGCAGGACAAGGACAATTCTAGATCCCAAGTCCAGGAACCCCCTCAGCACCCTGTGTGGCCGCCACCTGCCCCGGTCCAGGTAGCTCGTGAGAATGGCTTCCCACTACTGACCAGCAGGGCGCCGTGCTCACATCTTGCCTATCAACAGACTGGTTCAGGGCCCAGTCCCCAAATGCAGGCTGCCTGCCAGCTGCAGGTACCTTTGCCATGACGGTCCTGGCAAATTTCAGCACAATTTTAGGCACTTGTGCTCTGGACACTGGGAACCGCTCCCAACTGAGAGACTTGAGAGCAGGGTCAAGAGGGACTGGTGACCAGGAAGAAAAAGCCACAGCTCGCCATCTCCTGACCTCAGAGGCCTGAGCATGGAGTGGGGCAGACACAGGCCCTGCCTGGGGCCGAGAGGCTCAGCCACTGCCGGCCCAAGTGCCGTGGTGCCTCTTGCCAAGGGACAGCGCACTGGCCTGGGAGCCATGGAGATGCCACGCGCTGCCTCTGCTGGCCCGGCCTGTGAGCACCGTGGGAGAGTCTCCTCTGAAAACTGAGGAGGTGATGCCCAAGTCTGTGAGCTACACCTGGGTGCGGACGGAGGGCGCCATCGCAGAGAGCGCCATGGACCCTGTGCCCTCAGGAGCCCCTCCAGAGTGTGGGCAGGGGCAGGGCAGGGAGGCCTCCCACCGCGTGGTGTGTGTGGTCGCGCAGCACGTTGCTTCCAGGTTGACGGTGAGGGGGTTTTGCTTCGGTATTGGGCTACTTGGAGACTCTGTTGGAGACACATAGACCTGGAAGGGCCGGGGCCACGCTGGCCAAGCTCAGGACGGGGGATTGGTGTATGGGGCAAAGCCGTGGCTTGGCCAGCCCAGGCTCTGTCTGGGGGAGAATCTCTGCACCATCTGTGACTTGTTTTCCCTGGTCGTGTCTTAAGAGGTGCCATAGAGGCCAAGGACACGGTCACCTTGAGTTCTGAGCATCCCAAGACGGGCTCCCAGAGCGCGAAGTCTAGTGAGGGAGGTCGATGGCAGGTAGGAGGGGAAGTCCCCACGGGTCTCCGCTCTGCCCGGCTGGCTCAAGGCGATTCCCTCCTGTTTGCCGAGCAACATGTCTCCCCCCCACCCCCGGGAGCGAATGAAGTGCAAGGCAGGGACGGCCCTGGACCCGAGGGCGGGCTGCGGACGCCGGGCTGAGCGGGCGGGCTCTTCGCACCTTCTCCAGGAGCCCAGGGGCAGGAGCGGGTGGAGTTCGCCTGGCTGCCTCCTCCTGCACTGGCCTGGGCCCGCTGCGTGGTGCCGCCCTCACAGGACCCACAGTGCAGGTCCATGGTGGGGGGCCTCTGAGCCCCGGCCCACCCTCCTGAGGTACAAGCAGGCCTCCGTGCCTTTGTCAAGGCTGGCACGAGGGTCCCGTGTCCCGTCTCTCCAAACACAGCTTCGACCTGTCACCTGCTCACTGCAGCTCTGCTCCACCCATGAAAGGGGGACATTCCCATTTTACCCTGGAGGAGACAAGGCCCAGGAAGATCCAGAGAGGTCCTTGGTGACAGCGTGCCCTCAGCAGCAGAACTCAGGGCGTGAGCTCTGGCCCTGCCACTTGCTCACCAGGTGACATTTGGGCAAATTATTTGGTGTTCAAAGCCTCAGATTTGTCTTCCAAAAGGCAGGACAACCCTCACCTCAGGACCGTCATGGCAAAGGTGCCTGCAGCTGGCAGGCAGCCTGCGTTCGGGGACTGGGCCCTGAACAGGCTGTTGGACTGGCAAGGTGTGAGCACGGCGCCCTGGCTGGTCAGCAATGGGAAGCCATTCTCACGAGCTACCTGGGCCAGGGGCAGGTGGTGGCCATGCCAGGCGCTGAGGGGGTTCCTGGAGTGTGGCCATCAATGGACTTGGGATCTGGAATTGTCCTGGTCCCGCCCAAGCCCCTCTTCACGGGCCTCTAAGGAGGTTTTCCCAGGCTCCTCCTGAGTAGGTGGACAGGGGGCCACGCCCCACCTCACTGGGAGATGCCTTCCTTGGCCCTGCTGTGGGAAACACAAGGCATGTATCTGCAGGGCTCACGGAGCTGGCACTCGGCACGGGGGGCTTCTTTGACCGAGTGGTGGGCTGTGTCCTCCTGGGCTCTGCAGCGGTCTCAATTTTCTGTTAAGATTTAGATCACACCTTTTGTGCTGCTGGCTGCACATTCTTTCTTTCGATGGTGTGGGTCTGCAGTGTGGGGACATCTGTGACGGGCTGAAAGGCTGCTTCTGGAGGGTCGCAGCTGAGTCTTCAGTGGAGACATCAGCACCCGTGACCACAGGCTCCTTCTCCAATTTCATGGGTCCATGATGGTCTGACATGCTGCGGAGAGGCAGCCTGAGATTGCTCACCCTCAAAAGCCAGTGGTTAGTGCCGGCCCAGGGATTCCAGCCAATCACACAGGAAAACCTTTGCTGGACCCGCCGTAGCTGAGGCACAGGAACACATCAACATGCCACATTTGTTTCAAGTCTGAGGCGCTAAGCAGGCGTGACTGCAGATCTGGAGCCTGGGACAAGCCACAGGGTGGTCAGCGGCACGGCTGCTCCGGGGCCACATCCTGCGTGGCGCACCACAGAGGAGGATGTCTGCATTCCAGAGATGCAGCAGCGAGTTTTGGCGTCTTGGTGCCTAGAGCTTTGAAACAGTTCAGCCTCAAACAAACTCACCAGCGTCACGTGGCGCGGAGCGTGCCCGGGGTGAGCCCAGGTGCACTGCGGGGGACCTGGGCACAGGCTTCAGCCTGCAGCTTCAGGGTGCTGGTAACAGGTGGTGTGGGTACCCTGCCAGGCCTGGAGGGAGACCCCGCAGGAGTAGGGGGGCTGGCACTGGGCTGCACAGGCGTGCGGCCTCTGGGGACCTCTGCCCTGGGGCAGGAGGCTCATCCTCCAGCCGCAGCTCTGCATGTGCCCAAGCACACAGGCTGCAGAAGGATGGCGGGGCGGGTGGCCGGGCGCCTGGCTGCGGACGCTGGGTGAGCTCCTGGCAGCGTCCTTGAGGCCTAGTGGGTGCGGCTCAGCTCTGCACCATGGGAGGCCCACAGAGAGGTCCTGGCTGGCGTGGAGGGAAGGTGGGCAGCGGGGCCAACGGAGTGACTTGAAGACGTGAGAAATGTGTAAGATGAGCAGATGGCAAGACCCGGGGGCGGAGGGAGGAAGGGGTGGGGGTGGCGCCTGGGGCCCTGGAGCACCAGCCGTTCTTACAGGAGAGACCCCCACTCCAGCGAAGGCAACCCAGCATGGTCACCATGGAGACGTGCCCACTGAGCCTCACACTCGAACCTCGGGGTGAGAGCGCCAGTCCCAGAGGGAGCAGCCTCGAGAGCTGCCCCTCGCCCTGGCACCGGGGACCCTGAGTGGGACGCCTGCTCCGAGCTGCACACAGGCAGGGACAGGAGGGCTGCAGCACCGAGGGAGCCCGAGGAAGCCACAGAGAAGGAGCTGACAGGCCGACGCAGAGCGGGGGCGCACTGTGGCTGGGAGCAGGCGGACTCTCCGGGTGTCGGAAGGCCTGAGTCATAGAGCTGGCTGAGGGCCTGCTCCCCCAGGACAAGTGCAGAGCCACAAAGCAGGATGGGGGGGGACAGGAGCGGGTAGACCCTGGGGCCACCTCTGCTGGGAAGCCTGATGTGAGGTCCTCTGAAGGAGGAGCCAGCAGACCCCCCAGCTGCTGGGGGGACCACCTGAGCAGGCCTCCCCTGCCTGGCTCCGCCTCCCCTGCCTGGCTAAGGGTCCAGGGCACGGCCCTGATGCCAGGACCCCAGGAAGGCAGCACAGGTCCGTCCAGGCACTACGGGAGGCCTTCCCTCCTCAGCCTCACTCTGGTTGGGACCTGGTAAGGTAGAGTCCCTGGTCCTCCTGTGGCCACTGGGTATGGCGTGCACCTGGGGAGGACGTCTTGTGTTGAGGCTGCTCCCACTCAAGACCCGACCCCAGCGTGCTCACCTCTGGACACTGGCCTCTGAGCCCCGGCCCCTCTGCCCCCGTTGGAGGGTCCAAGAGCCAATCTAGCCCCAAACCTCCCTGGGCAGCACACCCCAGGGCCCGCGCGTGTCCGTGAGGCCACCCCTCCCCCACACAGTGACTCCTGGTGAAGAGCAGGTGCTCAGGGACCTCCACTGCAGCCACCGCGAGGCCGAAGGCTGTGATGGACACAACCGTGAGTGCCCAGGATGCCCAGGTGCTGTGCCGGGTGCTGCCACTGCCCAGTGGGATCCAGGTGCAGATGCAGCAGGCCCTGGGGGCAGGCTCGGGCCTCTGCCCACGCCTTTCTTGCTGGCCGTGTGCCCCAACCCACGGCTTTAGGACCCTGCCACGGGGTTAAAGGGGGAGCTGTCTCTGAGCTGCCTGGCTGGGGACAGGTACGGGGCACAGGGCACTCGTCCTCAGTGGGTGCATGTCTGCAGGTTGGTAAGAGGGGTGGGCTCTCAGACCACAGGGACGGGGCCCAATGTGGCCTCGGGAGCATGCAGCCTGCTTGTGTCACCTGCCCCTCACCCCCGCAGGGCCCCCAGCTGGGTACGTACAGGTCAGCACTGCCAGCGAGCGGTTCTTGGGCAGGTTCTCCTCCCTCTGGGCCACCAGGGAGCTGCTGGGCTCCGCCTGGTAGGCGCACAGCGCGTCCCACTCCTTCTCCAGCCGGTGCTTGTTCTTCAGGTGGTCCTCCATGTAGGCCTGGAAGGAGCAGAGCGTCAGGAGCCCATGCACAGCAGCTGCCCGGGCCAGGCGTGGCCAGGAGAGGCCGGCCTGCTGAGGCAGGACAGCATGCTCCCCGTGACTTCCAGGCTGCCGGGAGGTGCCCACCACGAGGGCCACACAGCCTGCTCTGGAACTAGAGGAACTGCTGGGGAAGATGGACGACCGTCCTGGCCACATGTGACCAGCCAGCCAAGGGGGTGCGAAGCCACACCTACGACCCAGGGAGGTGGGCTCAAGCAGGCAGGGTGGGGGGGAGAGTGCTCACCGGGGGCAGGGAAGGACAGGCATGGGACCCGTGGGTCATGGGTGGTGGCTGTGCCAAGTAGCAAGGAGAGATGCCAAGGCTGAGGGCAGAGGTCTGCACATCTGCAAGACAGCCGGGCCTGGACAGCAGGAGCCCGGGAGGTGCCTGTGCAGGCCGCAGCGGGCACCACTGGGCTCAGAGACACCCTGAGGACAGTGCTCCCCGGGCCGCGAAGGAGCAGAGACACGTTCTGGAAGTTGTGCAGGTTTCAAAGGGAGGAAGTGGCTGCAGACAAGCTAAGACACCCTGGATCCAACACTCCCATGACCCCAGGTCTGCAGAGCATCTCCCTGGGTGTCACATGAGCTGCCGACAAGTGTGGCATGGCCATCAGCCTTGGAACTATGCACCCGAAAAACAGGAAACATGCGTCTGGAAAACTGCCTCACGTCCAGTGCGGGCGTGCCCCTGCCCACACAGATGCCTGCCCCTCCACGAGGAGAGTCCTTTCCTCAGCTGTGTGCTAGTGGTGCACACGCACGGGACAGGCTGTGCCTGGGTGTGTGAGCCACGTGCGGGACTCCCGGCTGCGTGGCCTGTGCAGCATTGCAGGGACAGCAGGGCCCTTGGCGCTCTGCATTCTCCTGGCACTTGCCTGTGAGTACAGGTGACAGCAGCAGTCGAGGAGCCCAGCCTCTGGCTGTTCCCTGCCACATGCAGCCGTCCCCATCGATGCCTTCAACCAGAGGTGGCTGAGATGGGACGAAAGCTTCTCAGAGGACCAAGCCCAGCTGCGGGCCGCATGGATCCGTCATCCCCATAGGGGAGTGAGTTTTCAATGTGCCACGAGCCACGGGGTTTGGAGTGGCCAGCTCTCCAACGGCCAGCACAGTGCTCAGGCCCTCCTTGCTTCAACCGCCTCCCTGTCCGCCCACCTTCCTCTCACCACAGCCCGGTCTGTGAGGAGCCTGGACGGTCCTCTGGGCACCTCCCTGCCCACAGGCAACAGGTGGAGGAACAGAAGCACAGGGAGGGATCTCAAGTCAGACACGGCCTGCCCGCTCCAAGCCACTCCGCAGGCCCAGGTCTGCCCCGCTGGTCTGCCTCATGGCAGCTCCCTGGACTATGTGGGGATCAGGGGTGCGAGCTGATGGGCAGGTGGAGCCCCTGGTGGGGAGGACGCGCGGAGCCCACCTCACACCTGCTGTGGAGGCCTGGCTGTCACTCACCCCCACAGCCAGCACTGAGCTGAGCAGAGGTTTACCCTGTGAGCCTGTCCATGCCCACAGTCCTGGGGCCTCCCGTATGAGCAGTGCCCTGAGGTGCTGGCCCACGAGGCCAGGCAGAATCCAGACGGCTCCACTGAGGAGGCCACAGACAGCTCTGAGATGGTCGGTGTGGATTCAGGCACTGCCTGTGAGCCAGAGGCCTCAGGGGAGGCACGGGGGCTCCTGCAGCCCAGGACCTGGTGGGGGTGGGCGCAAGGCCCCACCCAAGGCACCGCCGGGCTGTGCCTGCAGCGGCCGCCCGCTCTGTGGGAGCTGGTCCTGCCCTCCTCACAACAGGCACTCAGTGCTCCCGGTGGGGCAGCCGGCCCTGGCTGCCAGGAACAATGGGTGAGCAGCTCCTTCCAGCCAGAGACACTCCGCGAGACGAGCCTGGCCACTGCAGCCCGACCTGACCGTCACTGCAGAGGGGCTCTGGACGCGTCCTAACCCCTCCAGGCTGCAGCGGGCTGGGCTCCTAGGCTGACCTTAATCAGGGGAGCGGCACCAGAGTCCACGCTCACAGTAACTCCTGGCCTCGTGGCAGGTCCTGCAGACAGGGCTGCTGGTCAGCAAGCTCGCAGTGGGAGGGGAGGCGGAGGCTGCTATCACGACTCCCCCGAGAACCGTCGCTGCAGATGCATCGGACTGCACCGAGCTGGACGCGTTTCTCGAGTCTTTGTGTGCAGTGACCTGCAGGCCCTGCCCTGGTGCGCCACAGATGGACCTGTGCTGGTTTCCCACCAACATCTTTATAATCGCTGTGCGCCGTGTTAAAGTGCTGCAGGCTCCTGCGCCGCATCCCCATCTGCCCTCTTTTGTGGTCTGCGGACGAGACATTCTCATCTGGGAGTCTGTGGAGAAGCCTGGCCTTTGTAGCAAAAACCCACATTTTAATCAATAAAAGCAAAACTGAAATGACTTAGTCCTGCTTTTCCCGGGTGTGAGGCGCGAGGGTAGAGCAGGGCGGCACTCTGCCCAGCGGCTGCAGGATCCCCAGTCTCATCAGCGTGGCTCCAGTGGCACTTGACCCCCAGCGGGCACCCAGCGGACATCTGAATAGTGTGTGCTGCCAGGGAGGTGGTCGCCCGAGAGCTTAATTAAAAAAAAACACAAACCCTGCAAATTTGAGTTCCATAAGTAGCCCTTGTAGGGAAGAAGAAAATGAAAGTGAAAAGGAAAACCCCTCGTGGCTCCAAGCCCCAGGAGGGGCGCAGGACTCGCTGCCGGGCTTCTTCCTTCAGAGCCAACGGCCCCGGGGCCGGCCTGCATGCTTCTGGCGTTATGAAGACGGAAGCTACCCAGGCGAGGAACCAGAGCCCCGGGAGGCTGGACCACTGACGGCTGGACCCTCGGCTCATGGCTGCGGCCTCCTCCAGCACTTCCTGCAGCCACACAGCCTCCCTGCCCCTTCTGCACAGTGTCCCCTACCTGTCTCCTGGTGCCTGACACTGACGACAGGGCCAAACCCAGTGTGCTGTGCTTTCCCCAAGCATGCACACCCGTGATGAAGTCTAACCTGCAAATCAGCACAGTAGGCGATAAACGACGACAGTTCTCTATAGATCTTAGCAAGCTCAGCATGCCACTTTTTTCTTATTAAGTCAGGAGCTGTCACTTTTCACTTAAAGGAAGCATTTTATAGGTTCTCTGTGGCATAACTGAAACTTCAGCATCATGACCCTGGTGCTTTGGGGTCATAAGTCAAGTCAGGGTGATCCAAACACAAGCACTGTCAAGTGCAACAGTTGGTCGGATAAGATGGCTACTAAGTGACTAAAGGGTGGGTAGTGTATACAATGTGGATACTCTGGCCATGGGGCGGTTCACATCCCAGGCAGCACAGAGTGGGAAGGCTTGAGATTTCACCATGTGCTCAGAACGGTGTACAATTCAAAACTTCCAAAGTGTTTATTTCTGAAATTTTCCACATAATATTTTTAGACCAAAGTTGATCACAGGTAGTTGTAACCTCAGAGAATGAGGCTACGGATCAGGGGGACGATGGTATTTCTTAGAAGACCTTGCGGGTGTACAGACTAGTGTTGTCCCCTGTCCAAATCCCAGCTCCTCAGCGTGTTGCTCTCTAGCCTGTGAAGACTCCATGTCCCACTGTCTGCCCCCCCTTGTGCTCATCTGGCTCCCCTCCCTGCCGCTGCACTGTCATGAACCCCCAGATGAGGCCCAGCTCAACTCTGCACCCACACATGGGCCTGGGGGGGACCTGCCTTCCCAGCCCCACCCCTGCACCAGACGCTGTAGCGAACGCGTCTCTCTGGCACTCACGGCTCTGCTCTGGGCTTCTCTGTGGGCCATGACCTCTCCTGGCTGCTCGTTCCCGCCCGGGGGCGGCAAGTAGTGGACGGTCACGAGCACCTGGGGAATCTCTGCAAGTCATTGATTGAGATTTCCTGTGGATGGCAGCACCCAGGGAGAGTGCTTCTGAGTCCCCTGAACTCAGAACACGTCCACAAAGCAGCCCAAGCGACCTGGGGCACCTCACGCCTCTCCCTGTGGCCTTCCTCCCTCTGGTGACTCAGGAAACACTCCAAGCTCCTGCGGAACACAGGCTCTTGCCCCAGCACTCCTGTGACAGCCAACCCCATGTCCATCTTGCCGGCGTGGAGAAGCAGCGATGGCTCAGAAGGCTCTTCTCCCCCTAGAGCCAGACCCTTCCCCACGGTCCCAATCCCAAGCAGGCGCTGTCACCCTGAGAGCCTCAGAGGGCTGTGCCTACCCCGTGGGCGCGGCGCACAGCCCAGGTGCCCTCCTCTGGGATGCAGCACACCTGCAGCTGGGGCCCCTGCACAGCCTCTGTGTGGACGCTCTGCCGAGGGAGCGCCAGGGAGAGCGAGGCAAATGGGGTGAGGCCTGAGGGGAGGTGACGGGGATGCAGCCCCATCATGACAGTGACAGAGCTCTGGAATGCAGACACGGGGACTTCACCCTTGTTGACCACCTGAGCTGCTGACCAGCGGATTTTGAGAGCTGCCCAATTCTCAGTGCTCCTCTTAGCAGCCACCACCTTCCTTCCCAAGCCATGGCCCCTTCCGAGGCCTCACCTGGCGTCCCACATAAGAGACAGTCCCCAGATCAGCCACTCGTGAAGCGAAGCCCAGGTTTCAGGATGGGGTCTCCCAAGGTGCAGCCATCGCATGCCGGCTGGTGCCCGTCCCCCCAGGCTGTGAGGCCGGGTCCACGGTGGTGGGGGACGCAGCTGCATTTCCTTGGATTCTTCTCCCTTGAGAACGACGTCGTCAGCTTTCTGTCCTCTGCAGCGCCCTCAGATCTCCTCCTAGTCCACACTGGCAGAGCGTCTGCAGTGACACTCTCAAGCCACCTCTGGGTCCCCGGAGCTTGGGGACTGCCATGAGGACAGCTACCAGGTCAGAGCGGCCCTTTCACATGGAGCCCAGCTGGCCTGGCTACAAGGTCAGGCGGCCGACTCCCCCAGGGCGGGGAAGTGG